AAAAAAAAAAAAAAAAAAAAAAAAAAAAAAAATTTTTGTACATTTCTGGGAACTTATCATCACTATTTGTCTTGCAACATTTATGCAAAAACATTTTTACAAGATTTCTTTTCACTTCATTTTGAACAGAAATTTTGAAAGTATGTTTTAGCAGGTTTCCCGTGAATATTAAAGGTCATCAATCTGTGGGCAATTAAAAAACATTAATAACTAATTTTGTGGCAAATATCAGAAAATTTTGGATTTATACGAGACATTTTGACTTTCAAACCAGGTTTTCTTCTTTTTGCAAAAATGTTAGTTACAACCGTTTTAATATAAGGCCGCAAGTTAGTAACAAATTTTTGATTAACTCAAATTTTTGATTAACAATTTTTAAAAATCTTTTGAAATTTTATACTTTTTATATGGATTAAATAAATTTTTATGTTGATTTTTCAATACACACATGCACACACAAACATTTTTGTAGAATACATTTTAAAATGGTTTTAATATATATTAATATAGAAATATATATAAATATAGAACGGTATATACTTTTAATATTGAATTTAATTTTGTAATAAAAAAAATTAAAAAAATATATATATATACTATTATTAATAAAAAAAAAAAAAAAAAGATGTGTGTGAATGGATGTATCTATATATACCATACTTTGAAAGTGGTTTAGCACTTTTGTTGGAGGAAGTGTAATTGTAAACGTACCAACAATTAATAATTTTGGCTTCACACACAGAGATACCATCATTTGGCTTTCTAAATTCTTCTACACAATCTTTTGGACGATTTGAAATGCATTTGGATGTACCTAGTGCAGTCATATTCTTAATATTTTCGCTTATTTATTAATTAATTAACAATTAAGATTAGTGTAATTGTAAGATACATTTGAGTAACAAGATTCAGTGATCGTATAGATGCGAGTAAGATGCGAGATGTATTCCTTTATCAAGAATATGATATATTTGTTTTTGCTTGAGCCATGTGATTCAGAAGAATTAGTATTTTAATTCAAGCCATAAAGACCATAACTAAAGAAAAGTTTAAAATTTGTATTTATTTATTTTTGCTTTTTTTTAAATCTAAATTAAGTTCAAAGTTCTTCAACAGCAGTTCTAGGTGACAAGACCTGTATGGTGTTCTTTGAGTATCCACGTTCTTTATTTTTATTCTTTATTTATTAACGGTTTCTTTGCATGTAATTTTTCTTATTGATTTATTTGTAAATATTGAATTGAATATTGTAATTAAAAACAAAAACAAAAAAAAAAAAAATTAGGCTCCTTATTAACATTTGCTGAGCTTAATTGTATTTTAACATTCCATGTAAATATGGAAACTAATAATTTCATTTACTTATTGAAAAATATACCTATACTAAATGAAAAAAGTTATGAAAAGATGAATGGTGACTTTAGTCATCCGTATCTTCTTTGAGCCCTGGCTGTTTTTATAAATCAACTTTTTTATATGTAAATGTCTCTTTGTAATTATATTTTCTTATTATATAAACAGCAAGTATATATAAACTAACAGAAAAAAAAAAAAAAAGCTAGTCCTGGTGATGTGTAAACCAAGCAGGATCTAATTTATAGTTTTTTGTACAAAGATCTCTAAAATTTCAAAGACATGAGCTAATAATAATACATCTACAACATTTTATAAATTATGGTAATCTCTAAATGTTTTACAATTAAACTCTTTCCATACAGTTTGAGCATGTAAATAATCCTCATCACTTATTTCTTTATTCTTTAATTGAAAAAGTTGAACATTTTATCAAAAGAATTCATTAAAAAGCCCATTTTTTCTTAAAACCAAAAACAAACACAGACAATGTATTAAATAATAACCAAGATAATGATAATTATGGATTTAAATCATTAGGATTTAAATTACTCTACCAAATTACTATTACTAAATTACTCCACCAAATTACTTAATAATTAGGATTTAATAATTAGGATTTACTCCACCAAATTATTAGGATTTGATAATTAGGATTTACTCCACCAAATAATTAGGATTTATTATTTTTATACTAATTTTTTATACTAATTTTTATACTAATTTTACCAAATACTTTTATACTAATTTTATCAAATTTTTATACTAATTTTACCAAATATTTTCATACTAATTTTACCAAATAATTAGGATTTACTCCACCAAATAGTTAGGATTTAATAATTAGGATTTAAATTACTCCACCAAATTACTATTATTAAATTACTCCACCAAAAATTACTCCACCTTTTAAACATAACTTAGAAAATTTTAAAAATGACCTATTGCATTTAATTAAATTAATAAAGCTTTCCCCTATAAAAAACAAATTTCAAACAGAATTAAAGGTGGATGTTAAAAAAATTATTATTTTGGTTTTTGCTGATAAAACAAATAACATTTACGAACTCACAACAGAAAACTTTGAAAAAATTTTACGCAACAATATTACTAGTTCTTATGAAAAAGCCCCTAAAAATATGGAAAATGCAATTAATTTAGAAGCGCAAAGTATTGCTATAAGAATATAACTTGATAACAGAATTGAATCAACTGCCTAAATAGGTTTTTGGTTCCCTCAAAAAGCGAGATTACACATGTAAGCAAAATAAGTTGGATAAAATTAATAATATTCTTAGAAATAAATTAAATTTGCAACAGTGAAAAAATACCACTGTTATAAGTAAGTTCTCCATATTCAATTATAAAAACGACTGTACATTTATTGAATTTGACATTTGATTTTTACGCCCAAATAACTGCAGATATTTTAGATAAAACAATTGAATGTCAGAAAAGCCAGTTATTCTTGAAGAAACAACCCATATAATAAAAAAAATTGTTGAAAAACCTTATTTAATTTTAATAAGGAAAATTGGAAAAAGAAAAACATAACATAAGAGCTTTGATGTAACAATAGGCAGTTATGACAGGGCAGAAATTTGTAAATTTGTTGGACTATATATTTTAGATTTATTAAGTATAATAATCAATATAAATGAATTAGGCCTTTATCGCGACATTTAATAGAGTTTAATAGGCTCGATAAAATTAGAAAAGATATAAAAATTTTTAAAAGTATTGGCTTTCAAATCGAAATAAACATAAATTTGAAAATTGAGAACTTTCTTGATGTCACATTTAATCTCTGAATATTCATATAAGCCTTTGAAAAAACCAAATGATGAGTTATTGTATATAAATACTCAAATCATCCACACCAAATTTTAAAACAAATCCCGATTTCAGTTAATAACAGGTTAAACCAAAACTCCTCTAATCAAAATCTATTTAATTCCTCTAAACGAATATTTGAAGATGCCCTTCAAAAAAGTAGTTTTAAATTTTGAACAAAAATTTGACCCTAAAAAAGAATACAAAAAAGCGCAATAGAACTAGAAATATAATTTGGTTCAACCACCTTAAGTTCAAACATGGCCATTATTGATATTCAAATGATATCTGGATTTGAACCAAACAAAGAATCACTTGATAAGGTTATTTTATTTAATTTAATAATTATTTGTTAAAAGGTTATTATATTTAAAATAATAGATTTTTTTAGTTGCTTGTTAGTACAAAAGAACCAAATTTTTTTATTTTTTTTTGCTTATTTTTAACAAATAGAAATAAATGTAAGGTTATATTAGAAAAATAGTTTTTAAATTGGTTTTTAGTTCCGTTTTACACTTTAAATAGATATTAATCACTGTTTTTAAATTTCTTCATGTTGTTTTTGTAGTAGTGGTATTATTTAAATGTTGATTGACCAAACCTCCCTCCACCCCCTTACAATATAGCAAAATTGTTTTCACTAACATATGAAAAGTGCTGTTAATATTGGTCGATAAGCATTTCCCATCCTTTTAGAAGTTACATAAAATTTTTAATCGAAATACAATTAAAGTTAGCTACAGTTGCACAAAAAATATGGAAAGAATTATGAAATAACAATAATACTTTATTAAACAAAAAAGAAATCTTAAAAAAACTACAGAAAATTGTAATTGTAAACAAAAAAACAATTGTCCAATGAGTGGAAGTTGTTTATCAAAAAATATGGTATATAAATGTATTGTTTTCTCTAAGAGGGTTAATGGAAAGCAACCCTTTAAAAAATATAAAGTATTCAACAGACACCATGTTGTCAAAATATATATGGGAATTAAAGTAAAAATATTGATGATTTTATACTGAATTGGTCCGTCCTTAAAAACAGCACCTAAATATAACAATATTTCCAAAAAATGCATACTGTGCCTACAAGAAAAATTTGAAATAATTACACATGCAAACCAAGAATGTTTATTAAACAAAAAATCGGAATAGATTTCTAAATGCAAGCACGAAAATAAGTTTTATAAAAAACTATAAAAATAAATGAGCTCAAATAATAGTTACATTAAATCTCCCTTTTTAAAATTATTTTTTTTAAATGCAGAAGCAATCAAATCTAAAGAATTCTTTTTATAATAGCGTCAGCATATTCCACAAATATGTGAAAATTTACAGTACTAAAGACATTTGCCGCTTCCTGTAATTTAATTTTTGCTATAAATTGAAGTTTTATCAATTTGATCATTCATTTCTGATGAGTCTTTATTGATGAAACAGTGTTGAATGAAAAAAATTTTTGTTTATTGATTTTCTACTAAGTTTTATGTGTGCGTGTGTGTGAGTATGTGTGTGTGTGTGTGTGTGTGTGTGTGTGTGTGTGTGTGTGTGTGTGTGTGTGTGTGTGTGGGTGCGTGTGTGCATGTATATAATAATAATAATACTTAATAGTTGAAATAGAATTCTTAATGGTTAACAGAGTGAAAAAGGTTTATGGTTAGCAAATATAAAAACTAAACAAAAATTTTTAAATGTAACTATAAAACAAAAAAATAAACTAAGAGAAATCATGCAGACTTAAAATATTTAATCAAATCAAAATAATAAAAGCAGCAATAACAAATGAATCCAAATTATAAAAATTTGGAACTTACCATCATCAACTGAAGGCATTACATTCAAAGCTTTAATGGCTCCAGCATCAAGACGCATATACTGATTTAAATCGAAAATTTTTATGGAAAATTGATTGAACACAGACTCATCAGATAAAAGCTAAAAACAAAATCACTGTTTAAAAATAAAATGCCTAGGAACTTCAATACCAAATATTTTTTGTTATACTTTTAGCAAAATTGTTGTACACATATTCTTTAATTTCATTTTCCAACTTTCTACCCAGTTAAAAAATATAAACAGTAAAACTGAAAACTAGTTAAGTTTATATAACCTTTCAGATAAAGACAAATAAAATATAACAAACACATTAAAAAGTTTACAAATTATCACTATTTCATTTGAAATTTTAAGATAATTGGATTAAGTTGTCAGGGTTCCCACTATTAAAACTGAGTCTAAAAGTAAGGATTTTAAGGAAATTTAATATTAATTTTTTTTTTTAATATAAACATAAAAATTATTATAGATTAATATATTACTTGATGTATATATAAATATAAACGTATATTTATAAAAAAATTTTGGTTTGCAAACTATCAAAGAACTATATATTTGCTTTTTATTAATAAGTATAATCAATTTACTTTAATAAAATTTCCAAGATGATTTAAAAAAATAATAAATGAGGAGAAATTAATGAGAGCAGTCAAATTTTACCTTTTTTTAAGGTTATTTAAGGACATTTAAGAAGGTTGGTTTTTTGGATATATTACTCTATTAACATGTGATACCTAGAAATCCGGACAAAAGTTCGGTTGACATAAATTGTTTAAGGAGTCTTGCAAAATTGTTGCAACTTATGCTACATTGTAGTAAATTTAATTGTCTACAAATCGCAATATATCTTTTAGCAAACAATTATTTATAATGGCAAAGAAAATTATCTCAAAACAGGAAGACCTCAGAAAGTGCGTGTACGCGTTAATCGATTTGCATCCTGATATAAAGAAAACTGAGATTGTGAGACACTTCATGATCGAAGGCGCATCAAGGTCGACCCTGTATAATATTCTGCAGCGCAAGACGCTCAATATAGGCCCTGAAAGACAGCGCTGAACTGGACGGGTGGAAAATAAGATGAACGCAAAGCAAATCACCATGCTGAAAAAGCGAATCGATCATAGTGACGAAGTTAGCCAGCGTCAGCTAGCCCGCGAGTATGGTATCAGCCAAAAGCACATATCAAAAACAATTAACATCAAGACAATAATCAAATACAAAAAGAAGGAAAAAGTTCCAGGTCCAACTCCACAACAGAAGTCAGCCGTTCATCCGAAGTGTGACCACCTGGCCAGAGTTTTCCTGAAAAATCAGGTGATTATCGAAGACAAGTCCTAGTTTTCGTTGAACAATAACGAGTTATCTGGAAACGCTGGTTTCTACACATCTAACGCCGAAATGACTCCAGAAGCTGTTAAACTCAAGCGAAAGTCCAAGTTCAAGCCAAAGGTACTTGTTTGGATTGCTATGTTCGAGGACGGCCTGTCGAAGCACCTGGTGATACCTTCGGGCCAAGCAATCAATCAAGATTGATTGCTTGGCTCGACCAATGGCTACATCCAGAAGTGCTTGATGAAGCGCTTGATTCCGTTCATCGAAACAGTTTATAAGAACGACAAAATCGTTTTCTGGCCTGACCTCGCTACATCTCATTAAGCAAAAAAGACGCAAGAATTCCTCCAAGCGAATAACATTGAATTTGTGCCTAAGGAGCATTACTCTGCCAATGAGCCAGAACTCCAACTAATCGAAGACTTTTAGTAAGAACTCAAACGAAGAGTATATGATTGTGGCTGGAGAGCAAAAACCGTTGACCAGCTCACTGACAGGATCAACTACTGCATAAAACGAATCAGTCAAGATCGGGTACATCTACTTGGCAAGGCTTCTTTCAGCCGAGTGGACAACGTTCGTAGACATGGCATGATAAACTTATAATTTTTTTAAGTCTAAAGCTTCATATGCTTAACTTTAATTATCTTTTTACAGAAATAAAATTGAACCTTTAGTCTGAAAGTTATAAGTTTTTTAGTTTTGTCCGTATTTCTAGGTATCACATGTTATACAAAAATATGTGTGTAAATATAATTGTGTGTGTGTATATGTATATATATACATATATATATATATATATATATATATATATATATATATATATATATATATATATATATAAAATACATATATATATATATATACATATACATATACATATATATATATACATATACATACATACATATATATATATATATATATATATATATATATATATATATATATATATATATATATATATATATATATATATATATATACATATATATATATATACATATATATATATATATACATATATATATATATATATATATATATATATATATATATATATATATATATATATATATACAACACTCGGAATTAAGAAAAATGAGGTTGGTAATATTTTGCGGATTTTAAACTTTTAGGGGTCGGCATTAGGTCAACAAAACAGTTGACACAAAGGAATTACCACAAAACATAGAAATGAGGTCTGCAATTTTTTGGCAACCTTAAACACTTTCAGGTCAGCAGTTAGTAATTTTTTTCACTTGATAGACTGTATGCCCAAACCAAACCCTCAGTCGATGTAGCAGCACTCCGTTGGGAGTCTAGCTATGTGTTAGTCGATGTAGCAGCATTCTGTTGCAAGTCATGCTATAAGATAGTCAATGTAGCAACACTCGTGCATGATTTACAATTAAAAAAATAAAAACATTGTTTATATTTTTAAAAACATTTAGAATGTTTTTAAAAACAATCTGGTCAATTAAATTTAAAAAAAAAAGATTTTAACTTCATGACAATAGGAAAATGTTGGATGAAAGTCAAAAGTAATTAAAAGTATTTTGTTGTCAAAAGAACCATTCTTTACCTTACTCTCAAAGCCAGCAATTTATATAACTATATATATATATATATATATATATATATATATATATATATATATATATATATATATATATATATATATATATATATATATATTATTATAATTATTCAATGCTGTGACTGGTATGAACCAGTGAGTGTGTTATTAGCAGACTATGACAGCTGATTTGCCTGACTGCTGCTCATCCAGCAATCAAGACCGGCTTTAAAACTGTTAACTGTTTCTGAATTAACCAAACCGTTCGGCAAGCTATTCCATAAATTGGCTGATCTGTTAAAGAAAATGTTTTCTCTATGATCTTGCTTAGTGATTTACATTTTTATTACATATTTAAACTGGTGATCTCTTGTTTGAGATTGTTGAAAATTAAACTTTCTTTTTGTTTCTAACTTGTTGAAACCGTTAAAAATCTTAAAAAGTTGAATCATGTCTCCTCTCTTTCTTCTATTTGTTAATGTAGTTAAGTCAAGAGCTTTTAGAGGATTCTCATAGTTGATTTTCTTGAGTGATGGTATTAGTCGAGTTGCACGATGTTGAACTCTTCCCAATAAGTCAATTTCACCCTTTTGATTTGGTGACCAAACGGGTACTGCAAATTCTAATAGTGGCCTAATAAAAGATACATAAAGTGATCTCAGTAGTCTATTATTTAAACGAACAAAGCATTTTCTAATCATACCCAACATTTGAATAGCCTTGCCTACGCATGTTACCACTTGATTTTTCCATTTTAGGTTGTTTGAGAAAATTACTCCTAGATCTCTTTCAGATTCTGTTACGTTTAATTTTTCTTTATTAATATAAAGTGGTGTTTTTCTGTTGTTAATCCCATAGTGCATGACCATACATTTAGAAATATTGAATTTTACAAGCCACTCTTGAGTCCATTTAAAAGCTCTATCAAAATCTGCTTGCAAAGACACTGTTGATTTGTACAAAATCATTTCATTCATTATTTTAGCGTCATCAGCCTACAGCATAGATATGTTTTTTAAAGTTTCAGGAAAATTGTTTATAAATAGTACGAACAAAAGTGGTCCAATTACTGACCCCTGTGGCACACCGCTGATAATTTCTGCCCAAGAAGATATGTTTTCGTCTAGCAAAACTCTTTGTTTTCTATTTTTCAGAAAATAAAATTTAGTGTATCAGGTAGATTTGTTGTGCATGATTTCCTTTGAACAAAACCGTGCTGCTGCTTGACTATGAGTTTATTCTCATTCAGAAAAAGTTTACATCTCATTATACCTTCCATTATTTTACAATCGAGGTGAGTGATATCGTTCGGTAGTTTTCTGCTAAGGTTTTTTCACCTTTTTTGTACAGAGAAGTAATATTTGCTGATCTGAATTGTTCTGGCAATTTGCTGTTTCAAACAATTCTTTAAAAATATACGTAAGTGGAATAGCTAATGCTGATGCACAATTTTTTAAAAATAGCTGAATGTAAGTTATCAACACCACTTGATTTGTTTTCTTTCAAGTTTTTTAATCTTAAAAAGACATCTTCATATTTAAAATCTTCTGTCGTCATAATAAATGTTTCATTTGTTCTTACCTTAAAGTATGGCAGCGGACCATCGTCTTATCTCACAAATGCTGCTTGAAAGTTTTTGTTTAAAATATCCGCAATATATTTTGGATTTTAAATGGTTTCACTATCCGTTCTTTTTAATGCTTCGATTGAATCTCTGACTGCTCGTTGATTGTTTATGTAGCTGTATAGGAGCTTTGGATTCTTGGCAGTTCTTTTTATCAGATCATATTCAAAGTTTTGTCTAACTTTTTTGATCTCATGCTCAACTTTTTTGCAATTCATTTTGTATTTAAATTTTAGAACAGGGTCGTTCCATTTACACAAGCCATTTATGTATCTTAAATTTTGCTTGCTTCTGATAAGAAAAGAAATGGTCTGATTTTTAGAGAGTTGATTGTCATTTTAGTTGGAGTGAAATAATTACATGCCACTTCTGTGTAATAAATAAGTTCATCAAACGTTTCCTGAACGTTTTTATTGCTAAAGCATTTTATCTAGTCAACATTTGAAATTAGATCATATATTTTGTCTAACTTAGATTTGGAAAACATAAATTCTTGCTTGCTTTTATAGTCACTGACTGCTTTATCAGCGAAGATAAAATCAAAACATATTATTAAATGGCCTTTCTTTATATTTCCCAGAACGAACTTCGAGTCTATTACACTAACACTTGAGTTGTGAAAATTAAATCTAAGGTATTTATAAGTTGATCGTCCCAGAGCTGGAAAGTTGGTATGTTGATATGCTGGTAAAAGAAATTTTCATTTAAAATATCTGAAAACTTGTGTTTAATTCCATTCTCATTTGAAATTACATCTACAAAGCCATTTGTCTAGCTAATAGATGGAAAACTGAAGTCACCCATGATTAAAAATCTTTGAACTTATTTTTATCAATAAACTTACGTACACGATTGAATACCACATGAAATTCTGACATGTCTATAAAATCATTTGGCCTGTAGATGCAGCCAAGCAGATACTTGTCTTTACCAAAGTAAACTACTACCCACACTTGTTCAAGTTTGCAAATGTTTAGACCTGTATCATTTAGTTCATATGAGTCTATTAAATTGTCTATATATAAGCACACTCCACGGCCTCGCCTGCCATCTAATCTGTCTTTTCTATACAAATAAAAACCCTCAACATTTACCATTGAATTGTTCTTGAACCAAGTCTCAGTCACAGCAACTACATTTGGTTTGTATTGTTCGATTACAACTTTAAAATCATTGAATTTGTTATCGAGAGAGGTAGCATTTAAATATAAACATGACAGCTACACCATAAATAATAACATTTTTTGCTCTTCTTTTTCTCTCCTCTAAATCATTAATGGCTACTCTAAATCATTTGTTGCTACTAGTTATTCTGTTGGCTTCTTTTTTTTGTTTACCCTGTTTAACAGAGACTAATTACAGATAGACTTGCTTGATTTAGCTGCTTTGATTATTTTTGTTTTTAAATCTTGAATGTTGTCCTCATTTTCAATCTTAGTTGTTTCTAGTTTTTGCAATCGTTCAAAGAGTTCCAAAAAAGCATGTGAAAGCTAGCTACACCAATTATAAATATTTTTAGTTAATTGCGAATGTGAACCAGCACCCAATTTTAGCCAGTTGTCTTGTTCAAGAAAATTTAAATTTATTTTATTAATTTATTATTCTTACTCTCTTGATAAGAGGGCTACCACCTTAAACAGTGGATTACCTCCTATCTGAAACTGTAAGCTGAGAGGGCTACCACCCTGTATGTATGTATGCATGTATGTATGTATGTATGTATGTATGTATGTATGTATGTATGTATGTATGTATGTATGTATGTATGTATGTATGTATGTATGTATGTATGTATGTATATATATATATATATATATATATATATATATATATATATATATATATATATATATATATATATAACAAAAATTATAACTGACAGAAAAATATTACTGAAACATTGAAAAAACATTTATTTATAAAACTTTCTTTTTTAAGTTTGAAAGTAGACTACTTCAAATTTAAAAAAAAAATCATGGCACATAACATAAGGTCTTAGATGACCTTTAGTTTACCGGTAAGGTAATGCCTAAACACTATAAACAAGCTATTTAAAATGAATCAAAAAACAGATTATATACCTCTAAATATTTTATAATAGCTGACAAACACATCATTGCTTGCAACAAATCTACTTCACCTAAATAATGCAAAAATGAACATGAAAAAAATAGTTCAGAATTTTATAGGTTTTTTTTAAAAAAAAAACAAAAAAACAAAAACAGAATGCTTGGAATGATTGCTGAATTAAAAAGTTTAGATTATCAGTGATTACAACCAGTGCAGTGCCTAGAGCCTCCAAAACCCTTACAGTTGGAAAGAAGGAAGGGGGCATAAATGTGAAATAATAATTAAAAAAAAAAAAAAAAAAAAAAAATTGTGCGTAATGTGCATGTGCATATAAAATGCATAAAGATAAGCAGACAAAAAAAATCTTTTTTTCCTTATTTCCAATCCAAACCTTATCTATAATTTCCAACGCAAACCTGATCTATAATTTCCAATGCAAACCTTATCTATAATACTTTAAGTTTTTATAGATTGTATACATTTAACATATTACAGACTAATATCATGAATGCACATCATGTAAACTTCCTTTTCATTTTAGATAATGAAGCCTCAAAAATCAGGTGCAACTAATTAAAAAGAGCCAGTAGCAACAAAAAAGATGCAATTGGCAAACTTCCTAAACTTACATCATTTTTTACACCTATATAAAGTGGTTGCTCCAGTAATGGAAAAAATTGCTCAAATTATGTGGTCATTCATGAACAGTTAGATATTGTCAACTATAAACCTAACACAACAGAAAAGGTGTACACTCTTCCATTGCCATCATATGATTCTGTCACTTGTGATACAGCAAGCTGACCTGAACAAATATCTGATGCTTAACTATGTGATCTGGTCAAACGTGGTTCTCAGCAGGTTGACCTTCCATACAACATTGATGCAAGTTATTGATTTTTAAATGTCCATTACAAACGTGTGATGAACAATGGAGAAACTGTGCCATGGTAAGTCATGGCTTGTGTATTCTGTAAAATCTGACAAGGAATTTGGCTTTTTCTGTAAATTTTTTGAAACAAATGAAATCCATTTTGTAGTGGTACAAGTACATGAGAGAGACTATAAAAGAAGTTAAAAGACGATGAAACAGGCACTTCTCGTGTGTTTCAGGCAAAGGATGTAGCTTAAAGAGGGTATTAATAATGAATCATCCTTAGATATAATAAGAAATGCAGATTTTTCTCAAAGAAAGGAAATTCTGGAGAGATGTCCTCAAGCGTCATAATGACAATGCAAAATTCCTGTCAGAATTTTTTTTTGGCTTTTAGAGGTTCTGAAGAGCTTCAGGCTTTTAGAGGTTCTGAAGAAGTTCTTGACTCATTACACAATGGAAACTTTTTGGGTCTGTTTGAGTTATTAGCAAAGAGATCCTATACTGAACCAGCAAAAAAAAAAAAAAAAAAAAAAAAAAAAAAAAAAAAAAAAAAAAACCGATGACCACTATCTAAGCAAAAAATCCAGAATGAGTTAATCCAACTAATTGCAAAATAGGTAAAAAAAGAAAACCTGCAAAACCTAAAGATAAGTATGGAGTATTTCTAATTATGGAGTAATTCCAGATTGTACTCCAAATATTTTTCACCAAGAACAGTTAACAATCCTTTAGCATTTTTTCAGTGTGATGCAGGTAATAAAGTCACAATACAAAAAGCTTTTCTTGGATACCATCAAGTAAGTGACAGATCAGGAAAAGGACATTTTGGACACATAGAGCAAGCAAAGTGAATATGTTAGACTGCTGGGCCTGTCATATGATAATGGTTCCAATATGAAAGGGAAAAATTTTGGTGTCCAGTCACAAATTTTACAAATGAATCGTAAAGCTCTGTGCTTTCCTAAATTAATAAAATTAAAATAATCCTAAAGCCTTGTGCTAATCACTCCTTGAATTTAGGTGCGGTTGAGAATGCAAAGTCGTCAACTAGGGCTTTATCATACTTTAGTGTTCTGTCCAGATTGTACACCATATTTTCATAATCCACACAGCATTGGAGCATTTTTAAAAAACATGTTGAGATTTTTATTAAAAATCAATCAGAAACTTGCTGGGAAAGTCATATCAACTATATTATACCAATGTGATATCATTTTGGAAATGCTTTGATTGCACTGGAAGAACTGGAGGAGTATGCAATAGCAAAAAAATGATGAAAAACAGCTGCAGAGACTTTATTTCAGACTAAGCATTTCTTTTGTTTATTGTCATCTAGTATGACATTTAATTCCAAGTAAATAAAACAAGCAAGATAGACAAACCAATTGGTATCTGATGTCATGGAAAATTAAATCAGAGCAACTGATGCTTTTTAGAGAAAAATTGTGAAAATGGATTCTTTAGTGCTAAGACCACAGCCGTAAAATTGAAGAAGTACTGAACATTCCAAGAAATTTTTCATCAATTCGCAACAGCATTGAGGAAAAAATGTTTGATTACGAAGGAGACGATGAAAGGGGTAATCAAATGTCCGAATCACAGTTCAAAACTGAGTTTTTCTTTGTGCTTGTGGACCAAGAGCTTTTTAGTCCAAGATCATCTATTTGTTATATTGTCTATCATATTTAATCATAAGGCATATTCTGTCATTTCTGTGCGCATTCATGCACAATGAAAATCATCAGAGTCAACCATATCCCATGCACTGGGACTAATTTCTTGTCATGCTCTGTACCGTGATATTTTTGTATTCATAGCCAAAAAACATTCTTCAGCTGTTATCGTTATCTTTGTGGACTCCATGTCTTTTGGTTAAGGAATTTAGAATCTCACTTGAGGGTGACAGTGATATAATGGTGTTATTGTGGTTTGAGGTCGGTAGGCGTATATGTCAGTAGTAAATGTTCTTATAGATTCATTTAATGAGTGCGTACAAGAAATGATTGTGGGTAGTTGATAAACCCCTATTGGTTGTACTCTTGTGCAATCAAACACTTTGCCACTATATATATACTTACCAAAACTATTGGAAGGAGGAACATATTTAATATAAGTATAGGAAACATTATCATCCATAATTTGCTTAAATCGATGAATGGTCTATGTGCAATCAATTCCTGAATCATCAAACAAACCTATCCATTACACTACACTTTGCTCCTGTATCCACAAGAATAAGGACAAATTTATCATTAATTTGCCCCCAGATTTTAGAGCATAAGTCTTCTTCATCTGGATAAAATTCCAGTATGTTAGTGTATCTTTAAAGAATTCGGTTAGCTGAATGCAGATTATTTTTTGGTGTATTGTTTAAAAAAATGTCCTTTTGGAAAAAAAGTATTACTATATGTAGTTGAGTTTTGGGCAATATGGTTCCAGCAGTTATATTGCGGTGATATAGGTTGATAATCAGTTTTTTATGGTAATAGAAAAAGTTGTTTGAAGCACGATTTTTAGGTGTGCCCTACTTTTAAGCATTGATTGCATATTAATTATCTGTCACTTGTACGCAGGTTACGACCGGTTAGACAAAATCTTTCGTGATGGGTACCACGGTTATTGCTTTGCTTTAAGAAGTCTATTTCTGTTCAATTCAACATTACACTGATTTAAATAGAGGTGTTCACAGTAAGTGAACACCTCTATTTAAAGTAAGTGAACACCTCTTAGTAAGTGAACACCTCTATTTAAAACTACAGTGAAGCTACCACTGTTTGCTTAAGGGGATATAGGAGTGCATCTTCCAATCAAGAGTTGGTTGAATCTGATGCAATTGAGTTTTGTAGCTTAGCAAATGCTACTGCAGTTTGATAATCAGAAGGTTGTTTTAATTTAAGGGCATTTCATAGGTGGGGTTTCAGTCCTTTTATGAATAAACTCAACTTGATCTTGTCATTAATGGTAACTGCTAACTCAGATTATTGAGGGTTTTAATATATGAATTAAGATCTGTATTCTGTGACAATCTAAAAAATTTTCCTGTTCGAATGTTCAATATTTTATTGTCATAGTGACAATGGAATGGTTCTTGGAGTTAGTTAAAATCAACCTTAGTAGGCTCAGGAACTATTTCATAATACAAGGGTACTGCGTTCCAGGAATAGTGGAAACGCTAATAACTTTCTTGCGTCCGACCACTGATTATGGAAAGCAATACAGCAAAAGCTAGCTAAACATTTAGTGATGTGATTGATTTCTTTACCTTAAAACACTTTTGGTTGCATCTACTGGATTGGTTTCATTGCTAAATACTTGAGAATTTCTTTTAGGAACGTATTGCTTTTCGCGTTCGTGTTTTCTGTGACTGTTTTCAGATTTAAATGGATTAGCATCAGATATTTTTATCATTTTTATATTTTTTTAATATGTGTTACTGTGAAAATGAGTTATCATTTTTGTTTTTTTAAGTTATATTTTTCTAAAAACTTTTTTAGTTAAATCTTTTAGTCATTAAACATCACTTAGTCAAAGGATTAACTAAAATTAACAATTTATTTTGTTCAACTATATTTACATTTATTATTTGGAACTATATCAATATCAATAACATTTTTTTTTTTTTTTTTAAATTTTAATTTAATCTTAACAAGGCTGCAAACAACCACTATTAAGTTGAAAGTTACTAGAAAAATGATTAGAATTAAAGAGTAAGGAAAGGGTTGACATAAGACTTTAAATGTAAGTTAAATTTAAATAATAAATCCATTGTGTAACACTATTGAAGCACTATTTGTGCTTTCATTTAAAAGTTGTGTATTATTACTTTTTCAATAACTCAATTAAAATAATTGAGTTATTGAAAACGTAATAAATAAAAATGACTTACGTAATGCAGTGCTCGAACCATAAGAAGTTTTTAAAAGTCTGTTAAGATCTTGATGGATATCTTTTGACTGAAATTCACCTGTAAATTAAAGAAAGGTGGTCAAACTAAGAAATAATAAAAATTAATAAAACATCAAACAGTTGGAGTTTTTATTTTAGCAACTTGAGAAATGTTTTAAATATATCAAATGAAATATTTGTTTTAAATCAAATATAACTTTATATTAAAAAAATTAGAAACTACTTTTTTTTCGCTCAGTTATCAAAACATTTGAACGTTGTAAAACTTGTTGTAGTTTTCCACCATTATCAGAACAATCCTGATGAGTGATAACACATTCTTTAACACCAACTTGAAGTAAAAATGCCTATAAAAATATATAAATAAAAGCTTTACTTAAATGACATGCAATCACATGCCAGTGTGCACACCTTTATTTAGCAATTTGTAATCAAAAAACATGTCTAAACTTTATTATAAATGTGTAGTCATGCACACACAGCTTCAAACCTGTTATTACACATATATTTTTAAATAATAGACTAAAATAAATGGTTCTAAATATGCTTTTAAATAAAATAAAAAAATGTTAGAAAACCGTTTTAGCAACAAAATATATATTCTAGTTAAATAATAACAAAGTAAAATTAAAAAACAAAAAAACAAAGAAATGATAATATCAAAGATATAACTAAGAATAATAACAAGGACAGAACTTTTATCATCTTTTTTGAAATCATTATCATTCTTCTAGTTTTTTTAAACATTTTTTTAATAAGATATTTTTCTTGGTTATAATAAAAAAAATTGCTTCTGGAAAATTAGAAACATTTTAGACAGCTGGTTAAATAACTAAAAAACATCTTATTTGTATAATTGTGTTTATTAGTTTTGTACACAAAAATGTTTTTTATGTTAAAAAATTAAAAAAAAAAAAAAAAAACAGAAAAAAAAGAGTATTTTAATGTTGATTGCTTTTTGCAATTGACACATTGAAATAAGAATCAACAATTTGTTGAAAAACAATTTAGAACCAGCCATTTCAGCATTTAGAACATATTAAAGACAATGTTTTAAAACCGCAAAGAAACTTGCAGGACATCCAGTTGTCTTCATATCATAAAAACAAATATTCTGTGATCATTTAGTTTCTTCTTATGACTACCTGCTGACCCTATTTGATTTCTAATTATTGTAAAATCGTATCTAGATAGATCGGAGCATTACATTCAATGTTTTAAAGAAAATCACCAAGGAGTCAAACATGTAAAATTTATTAGAAGACATCTTCAGTTTTTGGTGAGATTTACTGGAAACATCATAAGAGTCAGGACTGCTATAACATAACAAACATTCAGTCAGATGACTAGCATGCAATAAAAAGCTTTATTTTGGTTGCATTATAGGTGTTAGTAGGGTAAAATCTTTTGATGTTTTAGTTTCTACAATGCATACAAATTATAACAAATGGATTACAAATAGTTTCTACATACTTTACCATAAAATCAATGAAATAAAACAGAGTATCAATGTCTTGGTCTTTTTACAATCGAGGAACTGGATAAAAGACAAAAAACACAACTGTATACCAAATCTTATTATACTTTCATTATACTATTATTATTTGCAATACTCATTTGATTTCCTTCTGTGGTGTTTATGTTATAATAAACTATATAAACATCATTTTTACACTATGGGCTCAATTAGCCTCACAACAGGGGCTACATGAAACCAACCTAAACCAAAAAAAAAAGAAGGTACCAAGTCACCATTAATTTTCTTCCCTTACATAATCATCATCACATACCTAAACACTAACATCCAACATGTCTCTAAATTGGGTCGAAGTTACCTTAAATAATTCATTCAACTGTTTTTTTAAAAATTTCCAAAGACAAAATTTTATTGACAAAATAGTTGTTTCTTTAATTGAGAATGCTTTTGCTTTTTTCTTGTTTTTATTGTGTCATATAGACAAAAACAAGAATCTTAGAAAAAAATTCTTAGAGATAGACACAGTGTACATATTGTCAGAAATTTAATAAAGAAACTATGAAAATTATTAATTTTTTTAAAAATCAAAATTAAAAATCTTTTGAATATATTTACCTCTAGGTTAGTAAACTGATCATTATCACAAAACTCACAAACATTCAATATTCTTTCAGTAAGGTCAACAAATGCTGCTCCTATTAACTAAATATAAAACATAATATATTAAAATAACAACATGTATATTAGAGTGTCATTTTTCAAATATTTTTCAAATTAAATCCCAACCACCTGGGTTAGTTGACTGGTTGAGTAAAAATGATTTCATGGTGAAAAAATTTTTAAACCCATTTTGAAGGTACCACTTTTACAATTTGTGCCCCGACACTAATTTTAAAAAACCTAAGTATTAATTTGAAATTGGTTGAAAATTTATGTTTTCAAAAAAGTGAATTGATTTGACGTGGGTGGCAAAGGGTTAGTTTTCTAAACCTCCCCCGTTACCCATTAATTATTTTTACAAAATGTTTACGTACCATCTGCCTTGAAATTTTATTTTTACATAAAGCTTAATTAGATTTTTTAATTGTGCTGCAAAATATAAGTTTTATTGCAACAATTTTATTTCGTTCAAGTAGCTGGGTTAGTTTAAAAAAAAAAAATTTTCAACAAGATTGTTAAGGTCAACCTTGGTTGACTTTATATATAAAAATAAATATAAATAATAAATTTTCAACAAGATTGTTAAGGTCAATCATGGTTGACCTTAACAAGATTGTTAAGGTCAACCATGATAAATTAATCAAAAAAAATATTCTTTAAAAACAGTTTTTAAAACTATAACTCAACAAATTTTTCTTATTGTTTTTAGAAAAATCGAATAACTAATCTATGAATTATGCTTTGTAAGCGCCACTTTTTTTTGCCATACTGCGTTATTTGTACTTTTTTGAACTCCTTGAATTTATACCTACTTTGTTAAACAGCCAATAATATTGTCAGTCTTTTTTATTTTGAACAGAGATAACAAACGCTGATACAAGTTAATTGCCTGTTCAGAGCAGTCATTGACTACTATAGAGGGCGAACCAACTCAATGTGTTTTAAATTGGTAAACAAATACCTAGAAAGATAAAAGACAGTTTAGCCAAGGTTTATCATCATCTTATCATTTTTACCTAACCAGTCAAATAAGCCAGATGGTTATATATATATAAGCCCTCAGAATTAGGGTCGGCATTCGGCAAACTAACTGTTGACCTAAAAGTGTCTGAGGTCAACAAAAAACCGCCAACCTTGTTTCTATGTTTTATGGTAAAACCATTGTATTAAATTTTTTGTGCCAACCTGATGCCGACCTCTAACAGATTAAGGTCAGTAAAATATTGCCGGCCTCATTATTCCTCATTTCAAGGATTGATATATATTATTATTATTATTATTATTATTATTATTATTAATATTATTATTATTATTATTATTAAACAAACATTTATAGAGGACTAACATTTCAAAAAAACTGTTATTAATATGTGCCCTTACATCAAAAATTGTATAAAAATAAAAGTTGTATGTATATAATATAAAGATTAAAATGAATGTTTAAAAATTTAGAGAAAAAATATTTCAACTCCTTTTCAAAAAGTTTATAGCTTTATTTTTTTCTTATTTCTTTGGGAAGGTTAATAAGTTTTTGATCCAATAAAATGAAATGATTTTTTGCCTAATTCTAGTTTAACTTTTGGTATTTCCACAAAAAAGTTGTTATTTCACATGTTTTGTTTATTTTTTCTCAATTAAAAGTAATAAAATGGCTACATTTTTTTTTTCTAGCTATTTGCAAATGATTGTACAGGTATAGATTTATATATATCAAGGGTAATTCTAGATATATGTATGTGTATATATATATATATATATATATATATATATATATATATATATATATATATATATATATATATATATATATATATATATATATATATATACACACACATAAATTAGTAAAAACACTTATCTAATTTCTTAAACAATTTGTTTTACTATTAATAGGCTCATAAGAAAGGCTTCCTGCTGAAAACTTAAGACTTAATGTTTTTATGGGTTCTTTAAAAAGTTTAACCTAAACACAAGTTTAAATGTATTTTTTTTTTGTGGATATTCATTGTATATTAAATTATTAAAATATTAATTGTACTTTTGTATATTAATTGTATATTAAACTTGTTTTTACAAGTTTCAATAAATTTATTATTTGGCCTAGATATCGCTAACAGTATTTTTTTTTTTGCATGTAATTAAATTTTGCTGCCATATAAAATAAAAGAAAGATGGCTTCAGTAAAAGAACAGAACGAAGTTTCAAAGCTTAAAGTTAAAAAAGCAATAAATAGACAATGAAACTAAAGCTTCAATATTATAGGAACCAAAATATTCAAATAAGCCAACTTTTAATATATACACTTTCTGGTAAAATAAAATACAATAAACAAGGAAAAAAAATAATTTAATATATATATATAATAATAAACTTTTGTTAATAATACTATTTATATAATGATTGCTAAAAATAAAAAAATGATTAATAACACAACAGTCATCAACAAAGCATAGATAAAAATCTTAACAATTCTCAACTTAAAAACATTTACTTTTTGATTTTCATTGCTTGAAACTTTTAAGCTCAAAATAACAGCCATGTCAGACATTTCATTATTACCAAAAAGCATTTCTTCAAATTGCTGCAAATTTCCCGGTGAAGCCTAAAACAATAGTAGTAACAGTAACATTTTTTCGACAATTGCACAGTGGGCCAGTGACTGGACAAAAGTATAAAAATCAAAGTCAGAATTTTGATGTCATAATGGTTTTAAACCTTGTTATAGATATTATGAAACAACTTAAACCTTTTATATACACCTAAAATTTAAATGAATAGATTAATTATGTGGTTAAAGTATATGCAAACAAAAATTAGAAAAAAAATATTATAAAGCAAAAAATGTTGTTTACAAAATCTATGGTAATAATGTAACACTGTATTAAATATTGTGCATTAAAAATTATTTTACTGTTGAACTATCTATTTTCTGCATTTTAAGAGTTGTTTGATTAAAATAGGTAAGAAAACAAATAAGTTATAATAATTTTAAATACTTCATTAAAAGAAAATTTGAAGTGTATTTTTTGGTTTAAAAAATACAAAAAATTGAAGACCTTGTAGTATCCTGTTATATTATATACATATTTTGAAGCTTTTATATACATATTATGAAAATATGTTTAATTTAGCTGCTAATATTTGCTAAATTAATTTTTATTTGCAATGATTTGCAAAAATATTGAATATAAAATATAACATCGCGAACAAAATAATACAATATGTTATAATATAATGAATATTTTGATTCAAAAATAAGACTATTTAATTATAGTTAATATTATAATAATTAAAAGAAAGTATTTCTACATAGAATAAATGAAAACCTTTTGATAAACTGTTTTATTTTTAACTTTAGACTATTGTTATTATGTCAAGCATTAATAGAAATCAAATCCATTTATTTTTAAGAGAAAACAAATGATCACTATCAAATGAAAAAGATAAGCAGTAGTTTTTAAATTTATTGGTGAACAATAAAATTAAAAACTACTGCTTTTTTTTTTTTTTTTGCTCGATGATTTTTTCAAAATGCAGAGAAGACTGCTGAAATTCTTCAACAAGATGTCATCATCATTATGAAATTGCATGTTATTTTGTGCACTTTATCGTCACAATATGTTATTGATTCTTCTTGATTTAGAGACTTATGCATGCAAACAGCTGAGCGATATGTGAACCAGTATCCATGGTACCACATGCCACAGAGCCTGCACCAAATTCTTATTCATGGTTGGCAAGTTGTGGATTGAATGGCTTTGCCAATTGGCATGCTCAGTGAAGAGGCACAAGAAGCAAGTAATAAGGACTTCATGAAGTTCCTAGAGTCTTTTTCAAGAAAGTGCTCCTGTTCTAAAACAAATGAAGACTTGTTAAAAAGATAGTTGAGTTCATCTGATCTGATCAAAAGAAAAGATATGAAAAGATATTGTATGCTAGCATCTAAATAAATAGCAAACATATATGTTTATATCCATAATATGTATGCATAAAGCGCATCTCAGAAGCTCTTATTCCTTCTGGACTAAAAGTTTAGAAGCTTTTATTTCTACTCTTCAAGTCGAACCTTATTCTACTCTATATTTTTTCACCATATTGAGAAGTTGCTTTATTAATCATTTATTTTTAACTGCAGTAATAAAGTTGAAGGCCTACTCTCTTCTTTATTTCAAGTAACTTTAAGGGTACCACAAGGTATCTTGTGGTACCCTTTAATCTTTGTTCCTGTATTGTTTCTTATTTACAATATCAATCTTCATGAAAATTGAACATCTAAAGTGGTTCTATTTGTTGACGACTCAACTTTACACTTGTCTTAACAAAAAACCTTTACTTTTTGATTGCTTAGAACAAGCAGCTGATCTTTAATATGATCTCACTTCTGTAACAGCCGAAAGCTTGCTGTGGCTTAAGGATTTAAATTCTGGACTTAAAATCTGCCTACAACTTTTTAAGTCTTCAGTTAACCATTTTCTAGTATTTTTACTTATTCTCTATTTTAAAGTAATTCGTAACTTAATAGTGGTTGCTTGCAATCTTGCTAGAAATAAAAAGAGTTTGAAAATATATATAACTATATGCCACTATCTAATAAATAGTAAAGGTAAGTATAAAATTATTATGTATAAAGTATTATAAATTTTTTTCTAGTCCTGGCTATCAACCCTTGCTAAGTCTTATAGTTTAAATGGGGCGGGGTTTGAAAAAAGTCTCATTTTTAGCCGGGGCCAGGCCCTGGTCACTAATTATTTAGAACTAAGTTTTTCTTGTTAAAAGAAAAAAGGTACTTTAAAAAGAATTTTATTAAGAACAAGGTTTTATTTGTAAAGAGACTGAATGTATTTTAAACAGACTTTTATTAAAAGTGAACTTATTGGAAATTTATAAGTGTTGCAGCTAGAAATTAAATTTTTATAAGAACTTATATATCAAAATTATGTTGCAAAAAAAGCAAAAAACAATACATAAAACACTGCTAAAAAGCAAAAAAAAACATAGATAAAAACAGAAAAAAAACCTTTCCAACAAGGTCCCATTGGTTAGATTTTCCAGTTTTATTTCTATAAAGTTCAACTCTGTATTGACGAATGAGAAGTAATTCCCGTAAAAACTTTTCAAAATTATTTTTACTCAGAGCCACTGATAAAATCTTTTTGTTACCTACCAAAATAAAATCTTTTTGTTACCTACCAAAATAAAATCTTTTTGTTACCTACCAAAATAAAATCTTTTTGTTACCTACCAAAATAAAAAATTTTTGTTACTCCTACCAAAATAAAATCTTTTTGTTACCTACCAAAATAAAATCTTTTTGTTACCTACCAAAATAAAATCTTTTTGTTACCTACCAAAATAAAAAATTTTTGTAACCTATCACAATAAAATGTTTTTGTAACTTATCAAGTATATAAAACAAGGTTGAATTTTTATTCTTACACATTTTATTTATATTAAATTAAATTTAATAATTACACATTAATTTTGAATAAGTATCAAAAAAACAAAATAACAACCAAGTAAACAAAAGAATTTGTATATAGAGTTAGTTTATTATATTTCAAACAATTTTTAAAAATCTTTGTAGAACACAATTTTTAATTTTATTATTTTTATATATTATTATGTGCATTATGTAGATTGGTTAAATTTGAATTTTTTATCTTACAAGTGCAAGAGTTTAGATATTAGAAACTTTCATACTGAACACAGTAGCCCCTCAAAAATACACAAAATACACATAACACTCCATTTTCACTGAAAAAATAGGAGGTCATTATGCGTGAAGCTGTTAGTGCAACATGGGTAACAAATGCTGTGTTATTGGATGTCAATATACTTATTTAGGTAATCAATCGACTTGACTGTATTTCTTTTCAAATCGACTGTATTTCTTTTCAAACAAGCAAAAATATAAAAAAAATGGATTCAATTTGTGAACAGAAAAAAACTGGCAACCAACTTCATCATCTGAAATCTGTGTAAAGCATTTTGACAATATACCTTTAAGGGTGAACAAAGTAAAAGATTTCATTTAATTAAAATTTTTAAACCAGTTTCTACTATTAATCCAGATACTATAAAAATAACAACTTGAACTCCTACAATTTAATTTTGAAGCAGTTCTCTTAAAAAAAGGGTTTATCAAGAAGATGAATATTAATCAATTTAATGAACAAATCTTAATTAATTTTAGAATCAATCAATGAGATAGACAGCCCAACGGGATATACTGTTTCAAAATATGATGATTATGTTGCTTTTTATAAACTTGATTTGATGATTACTTATTTTGATGTAAAATTGTAAATTACTTTACATAACTCACTACTTTATATAACTTAATAAAAAATAAGTTAATTAAATCCTTAACATTAGTTGAATAAATTGCTTCAGTAAGATGTTCTATCACATCTTTCAGAGTTTTATTTTTTATTAAATTAACTAAAAATTTATAAGAGTCAGAGTTGGAATCTCGTTTCTCTTCCTCTTCCTTTGTATATGGCTTATGTTCACATTTTATTAAATACTTAGATCCACCCCATTCGTGTATATTTTGGATATGGTACAGAATAGCAAATATTTCATACATTAGTTGGGGGTTTTATATAGATGTTTCAATGCTTCACCAAAAATGGTTCAATAGATTGTACCCAATCAATTAGCTGCGCACAGCCCTTGACTTTTGACGCTTTATTAATTATTTTACATTTGGATTTAGCTATGTGCCACAGATCAAATTGGTGGTTTATGGTTTTAAATCGAGGATCAACTTTTAAAAACTTTTTCGATGCCGATCAGCTGATGTAAAATTATTACCCTCTTCTTTTTGCAAGTTTATCAGCAAGTTCATGAAATTTTATTTTTCCATACAATTTGAATACTTTTATTACAGTAATTGTAGTTGTGTCAAAGACATGCCCCGGTTTCATAAATGTGTAAATGCAATATTTAGCACTGTGACCAGGCTAAATATTGCAATCACATCTGCCGTCAACAAAGAGTATGACTGTCTTTTTTTTAAGATGCACTCTGATCATTTTTCGGAGCTCGAAATTTCACTTAAGTTGAACAACTGGCGGAATTGTAGTCTTTTTTTATGTTATAACAAATATGATATACAAAATAAACTTCAAATTGGCAGTGTAGGCAAAACATTTAAATTTAGACAAATGGCTGAGACTTCCATTCTTCTCCACAGTTATTCAAACAAGTCATTTTTTAAATGAAGCAGAGATACTTGATTTTTTATATTCTTAATCATTGAGGGATCAACAGAAACACAACACTTTATATAAGTTGAAACTAATTCTTTTCAAAAACAAACAACACACGATTATTGCATAATTAGTCAAGTCTGCTGCTCTGATTGTTACCTATCTCATCACTTGAATTATAGTCATCTGTTGATGCAACATAATTTTCCTCATCCAAGGATTTCTCCGAAGAAAAATCAGATATGCTTTTATTATCCATACACTCATTATCACTAGGTACTACAGAGTTTTCGAATTCAAATTTGTTGTCATCTTTGCCGCCATCAAATTTGTCACTCGTAGTTTGAGTTGCAAAGGTAGAGTGTAATACAGAGTGTGGTAACGTTTCATCCCTTTAAACGGCAGAATCTACATGAATAAATCATTAAATTGAAGAATAAGTAGAAAATTATTTTTTAAATGTTTTTTTAAATTATTTCATAAATATATAAAATTTCTTACTTTTAACAAATTTTTGACCAAAGGAAATATTGAAGGAACAGAGTTAGTTATTTATTAAATATTGAAGGAACAGAGTTGGTTATTTTCTTTACCGTTGATTCCACTGTACTTACTGACATTCCGATCGATTTTTCAAAACAACTATATTCAATGTGTATTACAAATTTTTTTTTTGAGTTTTTTTGGTACTCCCTGCCGATTGCTGCTAATAAGTTAGTAAAATGTGGACTTTTTCAAATTAGAAAGTACAATGTTTAACTTTTCCTGTTATATAAAATTAGTAGCTTTTAGAATAGAGATAAATAATTTTCTTAGAAAATAAGTAATTAATTTTTTTATATACAAAACTAAGTAAAATATAATCGAACATAGTTAAATTTTTAAAGATCTTTATTTTTTAATAAATTCAGGAAACAGTTTTAAAAATAATCTTATATATATTTTTTTTATATATCTAATATATTTAACTTATGTTTACAATAATTGATATTTGTAATTCAAGAAACCATTTTTAAAATGATCAAACATATATTTTTCAGATAAATATAAAACATTTATCAGACCATATTTAAAAAATAAAAAAAAGCTGGAAGTCTCCTTCGCGAGAAACAAAAAGGCGTTAAAAATTAAATTTCTTATCGTTAATATCTCATTCAATAATTTGTTTTGGAAAGTTTAATTAACTTTAAACTTTTTTCTAATTTTCATCTATCCCAGATACCCATCTATCCCAAGACTCTATTTCTGAGACTTCCATGGGTATATGTGCCTTCTGCTTACTGCCATGTTTCAGCTTTGTCTGAATTCCAGACCTTTCGAATGGTTGGCGAGGGATTAAATTTTTTCTTTTTTTTCTTCCTATTTCTGTGCTTCTGAGGTGCTCCCAGAGGTCCTTACAGTCTAATCACAGAGCACCAACAAAGAGAATTTAACTAAGAAGTTCTTGCATCTTTCTTTACCAATGTCGTTTATTGGGCTTGAGCAAGCATCAAACCTTGGATTGGTTTTATGCCAGAACTCTAAACACTGTGCAACCGCTACTATTTTTGAGACGATTTGATTCAAAGAAACAAATCGTCTCAAAAATATCAAAGAAACAAATCGTCTCATCATGAACAGGGACTAGAGAGGGTTTCAATCATGGGTAGAAACCTAATATTGATATATTTCAACTTTTTAGGGATAAAATTTTTAAACCCCGCATACAACTAAATGTTAGTTATTTGAAATTTGACTTTTTTGCATTACTATTGTACGAGATCTTCTCAAAGTTATTGTTGAATGTAAATTTACTTACTAAATATAGATTAGTTTTAATTTACTTTTAAATTTTTATAAAGTGTAAGGTTATGTAATTTAAATTTTATTTTATATAACTAATTTTTAAAACAATTTGTAATTACTTATAAAATAAAAAATACCTACTTAAAAAATATTTTATTTGTAAATATAATTTTTATTTGGTTGTATATTACTTTTTGCAATTCATTTACAATTTTTTTTTTTACGATTACGGTAATGTAACATTTTTAAATTAGTTACTTCTATATGTAAAAATAAATTACAGCTTTAAGAATTATTATTACATTAATGTTATTTTCAAAAGTAATTAATTTTTAAATGTAAAAGTAAAAGCGTATTTTACATGTAAAAGTAAGTTACTTTTGATGTAATCTACTTTTACATAACTCACTTTTTTTGTCTAAAAAAACTTGCATCATAAAGAAAAAATCATTTCAAAAATATTTATTAAATTTTTCAGAAATGTGTATTTCATTTGAACAATTGAAAACATTTATGTTTTTTACTTTTACATAAATATTAATTTACTTGTGTGAGTAAAAAAAAAAGTAAGTAAAAGAACTAATTGTTTGCCAGAAGATAGAGAATGCATTAAGATAGATTAAGACTTACATGCAAAAATGTTTTTAATTGTTTTTCTCTATCTTTTCCTTTAAGGAAAAGTGAATATTTTCTGTTTTTTGGAGCTTAGTAAACACAACACCAATTTAAGAAAAAGCAAGTTTATTTAGCTAATATTATTCAATATGCTTGCTGCAACCTCATAAAATTCTTCTAGAAAATTTTTTTTCTATTTTCCATTTTATTTAAAAGGAAATTGATGAAATGAACTCAAAAATTGTGCAGAGTATTGTGGAGGAGAATTTATTGACACCAATGATAAGAACAAACTTTACAGAAGTATTGTATGTTTAATGACAATAGATTTTTTAAAATTATAAATATATAAATGCATTATGCGTTATAAAAGCCTCACCAGTCACCCAAATCAACAGCAATTGGTTGGAAGATGAAATTTTAAGCTGCTTAAATATTTCTAATAAGTTTAAGACTATGAACTATTGTATGTTATAAACATGCTACTAATGTTTCAACCTACTTAAAATTATTGTTATACAATTGAGATATTCAAAGTTTGTTGAT